GCTATACAGCTCAAGCTGGACTTGAAAGCACTATGGAGCTCAGGCTGTCCTTGAACTCCGAGATCCTCCGCCCCGCCTCCCAAGTGCGGGCATGAGAGGCGGCACGCGCCACCACACCTGCCCCTCCAGGTTCCCTTTAAGGGAACTTCCACGGGCGGGCCGTGGCCGCAGCACAGCACCCAGGCTCTTCCCACTCCGCCAGGGAGCTTCCGTGTTGCCAGGCCTGAGCGCAGCACTTCATGCCTGACCCAGAGCGGACCCCAGCTCAGCAGAGGGCGTCGGGGCTGCGGGTCCATCCAAACCCCTCAGGACGGAGGACTGAACTCGGCCAGGGAGCCCCCAAGAGACCTGCAGGTGTGACCGCACCTCTCGGTGGCTCCACCCAGCCTTGTTCTGCTTCCTTTTCTGTTTTCCTAGTACTGGGGATTGACCCAGGCTGTTCACACTGAGCTACCTCCCCAGCTCTATATGTACTTTTATTTGCACACAGGCTCTTGCTGAGTTGCCAAGGCTGACCTGAACTTGCCGTCCTCCTACCTCGGCTGGCCGTGCAGGTGTGCCCCGCTGCTCCGGCTCCCCATGTCTTCCAGGTGCAGCTCTGTGGCTGTGCTTTTCTGAGCTGATTCCAGAAACTGGCCGTGGACCACAAAACTGACCCCAGGCTGGCAGGAGGAGACCACGGGCCTGGTGGTGCATGTTACCCCAGCACTGGGGAGGCTGAGGCAGGAGGATTGTTGAAAGTTTGGGGCCAGCCTGGGCTACATAATGAAACCCTGTCTCAGATGAAAACAACTACATACACAACTGTATGTCAAATAGCTTGTCTCTGCCAGTCGCTGCCAGGACAGCACGCTGCCAGCCCGCCAGGAAATGTGGGCCTGGTTCTCTTATAAATATTCCTACACGCCCCAAGGCGTGAGGGGGAGCCGAGGCCGTCGGCCCCCTCTATTGCACCCCCCTCCCTAGCACTCATCTCCGGGTAGGCTTTCCCATGGTAGGGGCTAAGCTTCCAAACCTCAGTTCTGTTACAAAAGTTCACAAAATCCACACAAAATGCTGGTTAAGTTCCGGAGCCTGTTCTCCCAACTTGTGACCCTCGTGCCTCAGCCTCCCACCAAGCCTGTCAGTGAGGAAAAGGAGTTTTCTCTGTTTTTTATTTTTGGCTGGCTCAGGCTGCCTTAGGGGGCACGTCTGGAAAGGCATGAGGAGCTGGGGATCAACCGCGGTCCCCAGCGCCTGACGGGGTTTGCCCCAGCAGGCGTGTCAGTGAGGAAAGATCTGGCGACTTCTTTTGCACTTCAGCAGTGGGGACTGAACCCAGAGCCTTTCCACTAACCTGCATCTCCAGCCCCGTTTCAAAATTCTGGAGACAAGCTTAGTCCCAGAGCGCCCAGGCTGGGCACGAGCAGGCCATCCCCTACCCCTCCCCGAGTGCTGGGTTACAGGCGTGCGCCGTTTGCTTGGAGGCTTTTCCTGGAAGACAGCTTCCGCAATTTACATCCAGGTGTCTCCAAGCTTGACAGTCTTCTGGATGCTGAATTTAGGCAGCAATCCACCGTCTTGGTTTCTGAGGCTCCTGTTTAAGTAAACATTTCCCTTCTGGTTCTGCCTCTCTCTTTCTTAGGCCCTTGGCCGGCACCCAGGGACGCTGGCTGCCAGAGGACAGTCCTGGCGCGCACGCGGGCGGGCATCACAGCCCCCCGGCCTCGACCCCACCCCGCCTGCTCCCCACCTGGGCGCCTCCCCAGCGTGGGGCTTTCCTGGGAATCCCGAGGAGGAAGCCACCTAATAACTGACTTCTGGGCAGATCTGAAGAGGCTTTATTAGCTTTAAACCGAGTAGCAGTCATGTTTGAAAAGTGCCTTCTGGGCCAGGGAGGTGGCTCAGTGGAATAAGCGCTTTCCTGGCAAGTGCAAGGGCCTGAGTTCAATCCCCGGTTCTGGAAAAAAAAAAAAAAAAAAACTTTCCATCCGAGATAGCTCAGCACACTAAAGCGCCTGCTTTGACAAGCGCAAGGGCTCCATCCCTGGCACCACGTGCCGTGCCAGCCTTGCCCCCAGGGCGGGCTGAGCCGGCCACAGAGTGGGGTGCAAGGTGCACACCTGCAATCCCAGCTCTGGGGAGGCTGAAAACAGGAGGGTCACTGAGTCCACACTGCATAGTGTGACCCGGTAAACGAAATGCAGGGGGAAAAAAAAGTGTCTTCCGCTGGGCTTGGTGCTGCACTCCAATAATCCCGGCACTCCAGAGGTTGGGGCAGGAGGACTGTCAAAAGCTCGAGCCGTCTGGGTTACACGCCTAGTTGAAGGCCCGAGTTCAAGGTTAGCCGCAACCGCGTAAGCGAGACCCTGTTTGAAGACGAAGCAAATGTGAGCAAAGTGCCTTCCGCAGAACTGGGCGCCCGCAGCGCCCCGCGGTCCCCGCAGCGCCCCGCAGCGCCCCGCGCGGCCACCGGCCTGCGCACGTGCAGAACTTCCGGGCGCAGGCAGCTCCGCAGGCCCGGCGGGCAGGCCGGCGCCGTGGGCGGGATTCTGCGGCTCAGAAGCCGAGCTCGGCCGACTCAGGGCCGGGCCGCCTGCGAGCCGCGCCGTTTCCTGTGCGTCACCTCCGGTGGGCGCAGTCCGCGCGGCGAGAGCTCCTCCCTATTTCGGCCGGGACGACTGGCTCGGAGTCCCGGCCCCGCGGTGGGCGGCTCGGACCTTGGCTTCGCCGCCGCCCCGCCCCCGCCGCCCCGCCCCG